CGCAAGTCATCGACGGAGAGGACCCTTCCTCCCCTGTGGACGCTCCCAACGCCACCTCCCCTCAGAGTCCTACTAATTGACCTCTCCACCACTGGCCAGTGTTTGTTCTATTTTCCGTGTTACGATTTGTCTGTAATTTCATCAATACATTACACTTCTCCATTCATATTTGGATTCTTACTGACTGTCTGCTTGCACGATGACACTCGATCATAACAATGATAATGAAGCGGGTCAGCTCGAAGAGGAACCTAAGGACACACCCGGGAAGACAGACGCGAGTTCGGACACCCCCCCTGGGTCGAGTGTTACAGTCTAATGAATGCCTTTAATCGCGGTAACGTTAAATTTGTTCAGAGAGTGTTCACTCGAAAAATATTTGCTCCTCCTTGATCCACCATTTCTTGTACGGAGAGATGTCAGTTAGCGAACATGACATTATTTTGGGTTTGAAGACTTGAAGCGGGCCTCAGCTTTCTATTTCGCGTGAACTCTAGACCTAACCTCCCACGGATCAACGCTCTTACTCTGGCAGATAGACCTTATGCCACTCGCAATTCCTCCGTGATAATTTCACCACTCTTTAGCCCCACATCTAACCATTCTCGTTTTTTTACTTCCAAATATGCCTTCCCCTGGAATAATATTCCCCTCTAAATTATGATGTCGTTTAACTTAACCGTTTTTGAAGCCAAATTATGTAAACATCTAACCTCGGAAGATATAAAGTCTTTGTTATCCGTCTCCTTCCTGTTATGTATTGAAAACGGAGGGCAGTTTGTAGGCAGCACGAATGTAATGTAGGTAAAACAGCAAGCTGCCTGTAGGCAGAATCTCATGTAGGCAACATAGACGACTGCATGTATGCAGGATGTGCACTGGGGACTAAGGCACAAATCAAGTCAAGGGTCATGTTAGCAAAGAGGAATTTAAAGCTGGGCTTAAACGTCAGAGGCTGAAAGGTAACCAGTAGGAACAAAGAGCGGGGTGAACCCGCTGGCCAAGGGTGAAGGCTGGCCAGTGAGAACAAGAATATGGATGCACTTGTGTCTTTGGCCTTAGCCGGCAGTTGAAGCGCGCATCATGCCATGATGTCTCAACACTACGGGCGGGCATACACAACATTTCCCAAACACATAACCCTTGGACTTTTAAAAGGGTCCTCCTGGTATTTGAGGAGGTACTATGAATATTAAATTGTTTTCCATATATGTCTATTTTATCCTGTATATAGTGATATTTGCAGCGGTGTTTTGTCCTCTACTCTGTCCAGCCATTATTGCCGTTCTCCGTTTTGCAACCGTAACGATGGGCCTCGTGGTCTCTCGTCATGCTCATGGTGGTTCTGCTATTTTCACCAGCTCGTCACTGGACTCTGCAGCCCACAAGGTCTCATCTCCGGCGTTTCGGTGATGATCAAGTGACCTCTACCGTTCCCTCATCCTTTCGACCCGGTTGTCCGCGATGACCTTCTCCTGTCTCCCCTCCCTGATGGTTGATCATGAAGCCAGTTGACGATGTTACCGTGGTGAACGGTAGCCTCTGCTGCTATTTATTTTCTCCAACGAAAAGAAGCTTTTCCAACCCTCATACGTTCTCATCAACAGTCCTGTCTCATTGCACTACA